CTTCTTCATCAACTTGCAACTCCAGTTCAAGAAACAGATAGCAGCTGTGGTCAAAAAGGTATTTGCTGAGATTTATCTGGTGCAACAATTATGCCCTTTTCTGGCTAAAATAGCTTATTACTTATTACTTTAATAGACTTGAACATGGATAAGACAGTTTACATCACCAAGACAAATGAGGTAGGGCATTCAGAGACAGAAATAATAAGTAGGAGCATTCCACTCCGAAATATTTCATTATTAGATTCTTCCTGTATATCCTTTTCAGAAAACAATGAAGCTCTTTTATAGTAGTAGTGCAAACCTTTTTAGTGAAACAAAGCTATGTGGTAATCAGGATTCAAAAGTTTGCATACTTCCTTGGCAACCATATTTTGCCCATATTTTAGCCCTTTCAGAAAATGCTATCTTATTTGCACAAGTAAATCTTCACCTATATCATAATTCATAGGAGACGTGGTGGCTCAGTGGCTAAGATGCTGAGCTGGTCGATCAGAAGGGTCGGTAGTTTGGTGGTTTGAATCCCTAGCACTGTGTAACGGAGTGAGCTCCTGTTACTTGTCACAGCTTCTGCCTAACTAGCAGTTCAAAAACATGTAAAAATGTAATAGAAATATAGGGACAGACCACCTTGGTGGGAAGGTAACAGAGCTTCACGCGCCCTCAGCATTTAGTCATGTTGGCCACATGACCATGGAGATGTCTTTGGACAACACTGGCTCTTTGACTTTGAAACGGAGGTGAGCACTGCCTCCTAGAGTTAGGAACAACTAGCACATATGTGCGAGGGGAACCGTTACCTTTACTATATTATAACTCACAATCAGATAACAACAAGAAAAGGTAGCAACATATATTCCAAAATAAACTTAAATCAATCTGCAGACAAATTTAGTTTTAGCCATTTTGGATCTTCCCTCTAAAAAGCCCCAGCAGTCTATGGGACAATCCCTATCCAAGTACTATTTGGAACAACATTGCTTTGATGAAATATAATTAAAAACTTTTGTAGAAAACATTCTACTAAAAATTAACAAAAGAATTAAGTCTCCTCTTCTGACTTCAGAAAAGTGATAAACAATGGACTTATTCCAAATGACATTCCTTTATCTTCTTAAGGATGCGGTTAAAAGAATAGAGTGAAGCAGCCAAACACACAGCTCTCTCTACTTGGCAAGGCAAACATAAATGTGACCCGCAGATCTTGGAAAGCTCTTAATGCAAGAGATTTTTTTCCCCAAGTTCTTTGTCCAATTCTTCTGCATTTCGTACTTTTGCTCTTATGACTTTCGCAGAACCCAATTCTTCTGGGGGAGAAGGAAGCATCATTTTGGAGTCTGAAGCCGAGATGGGCAGCTGACTTAGCATGTTAAATTTCCAGGATAAGGCAGGGACTCACTCGGAGTTGGTGCAGAGAAACAGAAGGAAGAGATTAGAAAAGCAGCATGGAATATATTGAGGGCAGTACAGTGGTTATCCTGGATTTTTCCAAAGTACCATTTGGAGTAGAAAACAATAGAGTATTGCCTGGCTATTGGGATCATCATGTTGTATTCTGATTTCCTCCTCCTCCCCAGACCAATAAGGCACTCGACTGAAACCAGATCCTCAGGTTTTGTAAGTCAAGCCCCATGCCATGATGCAAACACATGGAGGTAATCAGCCTTTTATTCCATACCTGAACAATGCCATTTTTGTCCCATTTGTATTCATCGTCTTATAACCACAGGATTACAATACTGCACTCAGGAATGTCACAGATGGAGAGCTGCTGATGGGAAAGCACTTTTTCCACCCCTTCTCTGGAAATAGCATCAGCACTTTGGCAACGTGCAAGCCCTATGCTGAAAGGAGTTCCTCCAGTATCTGAACTGGTTGATCCTGCTTCAGAACTTTACCCCGGTATTAAAATGTGTTGCTCAAAACAAACCAATCACTATTTACATCTGACACTCCCATCCATGTATTCAAAGCATCTCTCCCTGTAGAATCAGAAGGAACAGAAACCACAATTCTACCAAAGCCCAAATCCAGTTTCGGCAGCACATACCGTACACACACGGAAAACACCCTTAATCTGTGTCTGTACTGATACTTCCAATTTGGCAGAACCTGAAGGAGAATATAGTTCAGATTTGCCTAAGGCAACACCCTAAGAGTTTTCAGACTGCCATAGTTGCATCTCAAAGTTTATTGAGCAGCCCATGGACTCACCTTCAACACTGCATTGTGCCACATTGCAGCACTGGTCAAAAGGGCCCAGTAGAGAATATACTACCTGAGACTTCTCCGGAAACAACAACTGAATAAAAACTGCTGTTGACCTTCTGCCGTTGCACCATAGAGAGTATTCTAACTTACTGCATCTGTGTATGGTTTACCAATTGCACAGTGGCAGATAGGACAGCACTCCAGAGAGTGAACATCATTGCCCAGAGGATCATTGGTTGCCCTCACTCCTCTTTGGAAGAGCTTTATAGTTCCCGCTGCCTTAACAAAGTTCAAAACATTCTCAAAGATCCATCTCATCCTGGGTACTTTTTTTTTTTTGAACTATTACCATCTGGCAGACGGTACAGGATAATAAAAACAAGGACAAACAGGCTGAAAAACAACTTCTAACCCAGGGCAATAACCATATTGAATTCTATGGTATAGTGCAATATCAGGTTTTCAATTTCAATTAAATAGAATTTAAAGGATGTATGTTTGTGTTTTTAT